ACATCATTGCTCAGTGGAAGGGCGACGCTAAGCCGTTTTTAGAGTCGACACTGGTATGTTTCCTCGACGCTGCTTCGGATACCTGCTGACCTCTTATAGACCGGTGTTCAAACTTTCACGCTTGTTGACGAGGATGACCGTAATTCGTCAACAGTTAACATCGAAGCCCGTTACATCCCAGTACCGGTTGCTCTTGAACCTCGAGAGACTATCAACAGTTCGTTGTTTTATAGCTTGCGGCGGTTCGAATTCTGACGCGACCGTTACCTTTAGACCAGGGTATCCTTCGTGTTGATCTCATTGACGGCGACAAGATCCACGCCGCTGACCGAGGAGGTAAAATCGCGCTTGATTTTGTGAACGCATGTCTCATGAATTTCGATCCAGGAAAATCCGATCCTTTCGCCGTTTTCACGCTCAATGGACAGAAGGTCTTCAAGTCTCAGACGGTAAAGAAAACCCTCAGCCCGGAGTGGAACGAAAACTTTGATGTTCAAGTGGTACGTGGTGTAGTTTCTCTTTATTCATACATGCGCTGATACGCAGTATTGTTAGCCCTCTCGGGTGGCATCTCAATTCGAGGTCGAGCTCTTCGATTGGAATCAGATCGAGCAGGCAAAATCTCTGGGTTCGGCAACGATCGACCTCAACGACTTTGAACCTTTCGAGGCTGTCGAGCGCACACTCAACCTCAGCTCTGCGAAACTTGGCAATAAAGGCCACCTCCGCATTCGAATGCTATTCCGGCCTGAAATTATCGTAAGGTCAAGGAAGAACACGTCTACATTCTCCACCGCCGGACGCGCGATGACGACAATCGGAGGACTTCCCGTCAGCGCCGGAAAGGGCGTGTTCCATGGCGTCACCGGCGTCTTCAAGAGGGATAAAGACACCCATGCTCCTGAGGTAAGGGATATGGCAGCAAGTTCAGGACAGGCGTCACAGCCCGCGGGGCTCTCGGACAACCTCGAGGTCAAGGGTGCTGCTTTCCCTACTGCAGACGGCGGCGCGGAGCCTCAGGAGCCTGGAACCCTTCGAGTTACTGTACAAAGCGCCAAAGATATCGCATCGCACGACAGTAAAGCGTATGTGACCATTCGGGTAGGCGACAAGGAGTTCAAGACCAAGCACGTCGGAAAGACGGCGACGCCTGAATGGTAAACGCTTTCATGCAGCCAGTTCCGGGATGATGCTGATTTTTTCTCAAAGGAACGAGACGTTCACCTTCACAGCAGGGCCTCATACCCCGAAGCTTTTCGCCTGGATCCACGACCACAAGACTCTAGGCAAGGACAAGGATCTCGGCGAGGGTGAAGTTGACGTTAGTATCAGAATCATCATCTTGTGTTGTGCTTTTTCTGATCCCTCCATTCAGATCTGGCGCCATGTTAAAACTCAGGGCGTGTCTTCCGCTGATGTCTTCCTGGAGCTTCGTGAAGGCGGTTTCCTGCGGCTCCGTCTGGAGTTTGACGCCACCCTGCACCCGAACGGAAGCAGCGCCTCCATTTCTTCAGGCGAGCGTGCACCTCGGTCGATATCGATAGCCTCTCCGTCGCGGTTTAGCATAGGAAAGCGCCGCCATGCAGAGGAGTCATGATGAATCATTGTTTGACCATTATTGACTGAGCTCACCTGCTATTTTGCTAGCTAATATTACCATACGATGCTATGCCGGACGAGTACCATACATATCCTGCGGACTCTTTCCACTTATCCGTACATATATTACCTTGTTGCAATGATTGCATTTTACATGTGAACTGGCGTCGAAGAAATCTTCGATGCGATCGGCGTTCGGCAAAAAAGTCGCGTCCATTTTATGACTACCATTCGACCTTGACCTCGACTTCCATGGGCTCCTCGTCGATACGGCCACAAAATGCCGCTGACAGCGAGCCCAAGACACCTGAACCGCACCCACTCATCCCATTTCTACAACTTCAGTCACAAAATACGCTCACGAGACTATACCAGCTCCCGTCCTCATGCCTCTCAATCTATCGCCTGCTCGCGCCACTCGAACGGCAGCTCGTAATGAGCCTTCTCTGGCTGGAATCTGCCATCCTTGCGTCAACGATGGCCTCATGGGTCGTACGTGAAGGAGAACAGTTGCGTTGAGTTACAAGATGTGTCCGTGCCGAATGGCTTCATTGACGTTCAGTGTTACCTGTGCAGGCTGTACAAAAATGCGCTTGGGACGCTTGAGCGGCTGCATATACTGCCCAACTCAAAAGTGAAACTGGCGCTGAACTCGACGTTCAAGACAAGCTTCCGGCAGGCGATCACTGGGAGGTGAGTGTCCGCGGCTTTCGTAGCATTATGTGTTGACGGGAAGGTGGTGTGCAGTGGGACGAGTGGGAGCTTTGGTGTGCCGGCCGACCTGGATGAAAAGCGGCCACCACTGGGCGTGGACGGCCTCGATGGGTATGCCTTGGAAAGATGGGAAGTGCGTACCATACCGTGCCTTTGTGCGTCGAGATCTATTGCTAAATGTGAGACCCCAGACGATCCTGCATTACATGGTATCGTCTGGTACAGGCCAGAACCCCACGAAACCTTCCACTGGTGTGCTATACCTCCTCCAAACGAGCGGGCTGATGGTCAGTCATCGGTGAGCCTGTTTTCGTCCATTTTCCCCTAAAGGCCGTCTTTCCATATTCATTGTAGAGGTTCTCCTCTACAAATCACGTCGGCAGGCTTCCAGTTCCTCCTCCACTCACCCCATGACCAACTATGGGATCTCCTACTCCAATATCTACATTTGGCTGAGGTGCTTCGTTTTTCCAACAAAGTCGTCTGATCCCCTAATGGTGGTGCACAGCAACGGCAAATGGACCTGGTCGAAGTGCTGAGTTTTTTATTCATGTTATCGACGATGCAGCTCGGTAGAGTGAGTCCTCTTCCACCTCCAGAGCCGTCGACCATCCAATCATGCCTGTCCCAACAACAGGAATACTCGACTGATCATCTCGGCGTGAGCCAAAAAGCGATGCTGGAGGACCTCCGGGACTATGGACTCATATGGCAACGTAAAGTATGCCTACCGCCTCTTGTGAATCAAGTTATGAAGCCGATGACGCCCAACAGCCCTCCTCGCGGCGGTTCAGCCCAACGCGGCTCTCAACAACCCTCACATCCTCCTCACCGCCCTTACCAGCCACGACCAGCACCTCCTCCGGGCCTCAGGACGGCTTCATCGTCCTCGAAACGAACTACCGCATATACGCGTACACAGACAATCCACTTCAAACCGCGGTTCTCAATCTGTTTGTGTCGCTCAAGTACCGCTTCCCCAACCTCGTTGTTGGATCTATAACGCGCGACAGCGTCAAAAAGGCGCTGAATAACGGGATTTCTGCTGATCAGGTGCGCTGGGGATCTTCGGTTTGCAAGATACTTCTCATGGCTCACGGTGATACGGATAGATTATCAGCTACCTAATCAGCCATGCGCATCCTCAAATGCGAAAAAACGTGAGCCCCTATAAGCGTTCATTCAATAGACATGCATGCTCATTTATCTCCGCACAGAACCCACTCCTTCCCGTGACAGTGCAAGACCAAATCCGACTGTGGGAGCTCGAGCGCAATCGTCTTAAATCCTCCGAAGGGTACCTCTACACCTCGTTCACCTCACAAGCGGACTACGAGCTCGTGCTCAACTACGCGCACGAGCTCGGGGTCGTGCTGTGGGAGAACTCGGCGAAGCGGTGTTTCTTTGGGAGTTTGGAGGGCCATGCGAATATCCGTGGGTTCATTGAGAGGAGGACGACGGGAGGCGTGTCGTGATCTGTGCGGTGTGCGGGGACAGGGAGGGGGTGTGTACAGTATAGACTACTCTAGTGAGCGTGCTGTGGCTTGTAGGGGGGTACTACAGTCGTGGCATTAATTAATTAATGGACATAGAGGCTTGAGGAACACGGCGTCCTTCGCTAGCTGTTCAGACGGACGAAACGCAGCACAAATAGGAGTTCTCGGCCCGCCCGTCGACTGAGGACAATCTGTTCGGCCTCATCATTCAGTAAATGCGAGAAGGATACCTCGACATAAACTCACATCGCTCTTGAGCGCATACAGCCTCAACATCCTCTCCCGAATCGCAGGCACATCGTTCTCCGCGATCGCTACGAGATAGAACCGCCCTCGGTCTGACAACAGTTCCTAGCAAAGCAAAGGATGGGTAAAGACCACGTTGCAGAGGAGCCTACACGACGTACCTCTACGCGCTCCAAAAACACATCAGTGATATTCATGCCGTCCACGCCGCCCGCCCACGCACCCGCAATGCCGCGTGCGTCCTGGGCGTCGGACGCCTCGTCGGGGATGGTGGGGACGTACGGTGGGTTGAAGAGGATCACGTCTACGTTGCGGGCGAGTCGCTGTGCGAGTGGAGAAGCGAAGGAGGCGTTTATGGGGTCGAGAGTGACCTGGAGAGAGGTAAGTGTAAAGAGGCCAAGGTAGAGGCAAACGCGCACCTTGTTTTGTGTCGCGGTCGAGCGCGTACACCGGCATGCATGGGGACTTATGTCTGTGCACAGGTACACTTTTGGATCTCGAGTTAGGCGCGAGAATGAGATGGAGGGGGAGACGACGCACGTACAGATGGCCCGAGGATTTTGGCGATGAATGCAGAGACACAGCCTGAGCCTGAGCTGATACGATCCGAGGTAAGTTTAAAGCGAAGGCAGTGACAGTGCACCGTAGCGACCAACCCAATTTCGAGCGACACCAGCGCGCCCAATGCGCTGAGCTGGTGCTCATCGGCCTCGAGGGCGTCCAGGAGAAGGAATGTGTCCTCTGCGCAAGGATAAGAATCGCGACGGGCTTATGGATTGTTCCAACGTACCAGCGGGCTCGTAGACGTGGTCATAGTCCGATGGTTCGAGGTGGGAGAGGTCTGGTGTGGGGAGCATGGCTGCGAGGGTGAACCATGAATTGCGGGATCTAATCAGTCGCTATAGTGTGGTGGAGAAGATGCTATCATGCCCTGTGGCTGCAAAAGGCGCTCTAGTGTAGTGGTCATCACACGGGATTTTGAGACGCGACTTCCCGTAACCCAGGTTCGAGCCCTGGGAGTGCCTGTGTTTTTTTGCGAGCCATGGCCTGGGGACGGGATGTGCCGAGGATGAATATGAAGAGTAAAAGTTTGGGGAGATGCTGTGAGCGACCATGTCCCAAGGTGAGCAGCAGGACGAGCGCGACGGCGACTCGACGCTAACGCTATCCACGCCAGGCGAGAAAACCCATTCGATTGTGCCGCTGTTATCGCGGGCTCTTCACCGAATCCGCTCCACGCCGCCCCGAATCATCGCCTCGCCCCCAACCCGTACGTTCATCTCCGGTTTCCTGCTCATTCTCGTTCAATTCATGCTGGTTCAGAGCCCCGCAGAGCTGCCGTCGCCCTTGTAATCCGCGTCGTACCGTCTCCCTTGGCCCCTCTCCCGCCCACTCCTCCCACTCCACCCACCCTTTCCGAGTTTTTTGAGCTTGACTGGGTTAATGACCCCAACGCACGCCCCGAGATCCTCTTCCTTCACCGCAAGAATGCAAGCGACGACGAGGTCTCACTTGCCCAGTCGCGACTGCGGAACACCACTGAGAGCCATGTCGCCTTCCCGGGCGGTAGAATGGAGCCGGAGGACGAGGGTGGTCTTTACACAGGTGTGACGACTCTAATCTCCCATCCATTGCTGCCCTAATCCGTTTGCAGCCATGCGCCAAACATGGGAAGAAATCGGCGTCGACCTTGCCGAGCGCCAGTACACCTCTGTCGGCCAGCTCGACGACCGCGAAATCACCACCTCTCTCGGCAAACGTCTCCTCATGATTCTCTCCCCCTTTGTCTTCCTCCAAGTCGCCCCCCACGCTCCGCCGCCCGACCCCCTCGAGTCCACTGTCCTTCACTGGACACCCCTTGCCCCCCTCGTGGACCCTGCCAAGCCCCCGCGCTGGAGCACCGTTTCCGTCGATGCCGCGTCCCGCCTCGCTCCAAAACACTCCACCGCCCTACGCCTGCTCATCCGTCTGCTCATCGGCAGCATGGAGTTCCCTGCCATTATCCTTCACACTCCCGGCACCGCGCCTCTCACCGATGCCAAGCAGCACGACGTCCTCGAAGAGGGCGTCCCGCGCCAACCATACCGTCAGCAGGATCTCAAGCTCTGGGGCCTCTCCCTGGGTATGATGCTCGATCTCATGAGCTACATGATTTTCCCTCCCCCGACCGCGCGCTTCAGCTCCCCTGACGAGTCGCGGGAGGAGGGCAGCTCCGGCGAGAGCTCGCCGCTGAGCCCGGTCATGCAACTCCCGTACCAGGCAGAGTTCGAAGGCCTCAGAATGGACATCGTCGCGCCCAGTCTCGCGAGCGTCTTCCCGAGGTTCTCGTACCCAGATGTCAACTTTTGGATCTGGTGCGTTCTTCGCCTTGTTCCCATGATGGCCTGCCACATTACTGACTTGGCGTTGATGATGACAGGGTATTCGGCAAGCGCTACCGCTCGGTCGTGCGTGGCTGGGAAGCGAGCGTCCGAGCCGGCGGTACGAACGACAGACGCATCAACTGGTCTGGCTCCGCGCTGAGCAACTTCTATGCGGCGATTCGCAAGGCGCTTGTCGTCGTCATTGTGGCGCGTGCGCTCGGCATCCTGTTTGGCGTCGCGTTCACCGCGTGGTGGGTGTTTTGGCGGTAGGCGTGTCCACATTCTTCCTTGCTTCCTTGGTTTGGTGCCATGGCGAACACATCGCGCCATATCCACTACGATCCACCTCCAACCCACCCAATCCACACCTTCCCGTCATTCAACTTTCGGCTCAACACTCCCTGTTCGATGTTCAACACTGTAGAAAGCAATCCGGCAACGTCAAATTATCAGTTATCTGGTAACAGCACCTTTTCGTCCGTTCCATTCACGGGCGCCCCTCTCGTTACACCCCCCGGTCCGTCTATAGACTCCCCCACCCCACCCGTTTCTGTGATTCAAGTTTCGCCCGCTATACATATGTAGATGTTTCATGTTCAACTGTGCGCCGCAGATACATACATACTTACGCACTCACGGCACTATGGTTGTAGACGCACCAACGCACATCACTACACAGAGATGACCTTACGATAACGAATGTTCCTTTATTAGCGTTTTCCTTGTATCAATCTGTATCCATCATAGACGAGCGAGAATCGAGTGCATTGCGTGAGAGCAGACAGCTGTGAGTGTTCGAAAGTGAATTGGGGCACTCTGGGATGGGTACATGGGGGTTGGGGAGGGTGGGGTTAGAGCGCATAGGAGCGAGTTGATCTCAGCTGCTTGACGTCGTGTGGTTGGGTCCGCATGTGATTGATTATTCTCGTCGCGGTGTTCAACCGCCATTGAAAGAAAAAGAGTTTATAGTACGTGCATACAGGCAGTATGTATAGTTGCCTAACGGGTCGTATGGGACCGCATGCCATAGGATACCATAGATTAACTGGTGGGTGAACCGGTGACGCGCCACACCAACGAATAAATACACCCCGGTAAGGTTCTCACTCGCTTGTCAAGGCGCACGCCAAACTGTCTTGTTGTGCGACTCCGGCACGGTTGAACCCCAATCATAAAGATCAGCCCTGCATCCATCACGCCGGCGGCTGTATGCGTCCCGACTAGCGCCACAACCACAGCTCTCTGGAGACCCGACCAATTGCTGGCGCCATCCCAAAGCGTCCTGTCAACGCTGCGCGGGCATGCGCGCCTTTCTCCTCCTTTTGCAAAATTCTAAGAGCGCGCTGGTAAACTTTGTTCATTTCTTGTATGTACATACAGTGTGCTGAGTGCTGGGTGTCTACAAGGGCAGACCGCAGACGTCGCAATCCGGGCGGCTGTGGCCGTTCTCGAAAGTGCAGTGGGGGCACGTGCGAATGCCGCCCTGAGAGCTGGAGCCCGCGCCGCCCGCGCGTGCGGCTTCCTCGGCCGCAATTTGGTCGAATACCTCTTGAGGGATGTCTTCGTCCATGTGGGACGATGACCCGCCGGGCGCTGAGGACGAGGGGCGTGCAGCTGTTAATCGTGGTCAGACGAGATATTTCAAGGCGAGAGTTAATTGATTAAAAATACGCACGAGCACTCTCCCGTGTGAATGTCATCAGGGTATGCCAGCCCTCGGTCGCCAGCAGAGGATCAAGCAATGATGAATCGTCGAGTAGATTGGGTTGAGAGACCGTCTGCGCGAGAACCTTCATGTCATCCTGCAAATCTGTGTCAGTTTGTTTGTTCTTCAAAAAAGAAAGAAGGGTAACTCACGGGCGAAAATAGTTGCGTCGTGCCCAAGAACGCGACCAAATGCCAGTCGCTCAGCCAGTGGGCAAGTTCAAGACGTTTATGAGCTTCACCAGGCTTGGCGGTGCGGCTGTCGTGGATATTCGGTGCATCGAGGGCTGCAAGTTTCGACAGAACCTGCTCGACGCGCTGGTCCTCCAATCCAGGTCGGTTTTCGATGTTAAAGGCTGTTGAGCGGAATATTGGCGAAGGGTTTTGAGGGAATCCATGCGTGACCTGTGGGTTGAGAGTTGAGTGCTGCAATGGTAGAGAAAAGGAGGGAGGGACACACGTTCAACATAAGATACTCCACAGGGAAGCACGGCTTCGCGCTCTTCTTCACCTCCAGCCCGTACTCGTTCTTGTACGTGAAGAACACGTCAGGAACGTATCGTGCAGACTCCTGGCTCCGGTCTTCTTCCTTTACCCTGACAATTCCCGGATCCACGCTCGCCTCAATCATATCCGCCTCCACCATCGCAACTGCCTGCTCCGATACCTGGTAGGCAGAAACGTCGATTTGGCCATCTTCTGTAGCTGTCAGCACAGCGGTAACCAGCCGTGAAGCAAATTGCCCGGTGGGCGACGACCGTGAGGCGGTGGGATTATCCTTCTGCATTGTGGCGGCGAATACGGCCTCCAGCGACGACAGGAAGAACGAGCCCGGGTGACGTTTGTATACATTTTTGGTGCGATCTTCGGGGGTTGGGTCAAGGTCGGTGAAGATGTACCCAACGACAGTCAAGGGCGTCGAAACAGTCTTGCCAAGCTCCCGTATGCGTTGTCCTTCTTCCCACGGCAGGCCAAGTGTTAGGCCGTCTAGATCTCCCTCCTGTGGTGGTTCGTGGATAGCCTCTACGACAGCCTTGACACCCATTGGCACCTTGTCGTACGGTTCGTAGCGCCCGATGAGCCAGCCGAAACGTTGAAGTCCGGTGTTGCGCCACGCTTGAAGGAACCGATCGATGATGTCTGTTGAGGCAATCTCCAGGTGGTCGACCATCCGGAAAGGCTGCGAAGCGAGGGTGATTGCAGACGGCTGGCAGGCTGTACAGATTCCGGCTGGCCACGGTGCGTGGCCACCACTCGGGCAGGGCACCTTCACTTTGTACGATAGCGGCGTTAATGGGGGAAGATGTGAGGCGGCAGAAGCGGAGGGTTTCGGGGTAATCTTGCGAAGATACGCGTGGTAGGATAGATGCTTGATGGTGTTCTCTTTGTGGTATGCCGCATCGTAGGGTTCGAGAGGCATGCAGTAGTCGCACATTCCATTTGTTCCATGCTTGCAGAATCGCGAATCGCGACCCCGCGGTATCTTTCCTGATTGATTGCGCCAGTATCCATCGACTGGATCCTCCGTTACAAGTTCCCAGGGGCGTTTCGTGCCGTCCGCGGTGGGTGGAGGCGCGTCTGAGACAATTTCATTGCTCCCTGACGCGGATGGTTGAGACTGGTAGGCTACAAAGAGAAGATGTCCGTGGCTGGCAAGAAATTGAAGATATAAACGCGAAAATAACGCCATGGTACTCACCTAAGTCCCAGATCTTTCAAAGTCCTGCCTTTCACGTCTGACACCTTTACCTCGTTACCCCGGGGGTTTTCAGAGATCGTCACGCTAGCAGGGTCTGCATCTGTGGTAGTTTCCAAGATCTACCGGTGATAAAACTCAGCGTCACAGCCCGGTGGCGAACTGAAGGGCGTACCTTGGCTAGTAGCTCAGAAATGTCGGTTGTGGGTGACAGGTCGAACCTGAAATTCCCGTCCTTGGATCTGATTCGGATTATCTGAGC